ACAGGAAGCCCAAGGCAGAGTTGCTCTGCCCCAGGCTTCCTGGAATCAGCGCTGATCAGTTTCAGCAGCAGCTGACTTGGGGAAGCTTAGGGTTCTTAAGTTGAATCTGTATGTAAGTCAGAACTGGCGGTCAGTTTCAGCAGCGGCTGAATCTGGACGCCAGTTCCGACTTACATACAGATTCAACTTAAGAACAAACCTACAGTCCCTATCTTGTACGCAACCCGGGGACTGCCTGTACTTCTCTAAACAAAACATTGTTTCAAAACAAAGAGTTGAAACAAAATATTTTGACTGTGTCAGAAAAAAAATATTTGGGGGCTGGGAGGCCAAAGCTGTTTGGGAACTCAAACCTAATTTGCAAATAGCTTTGGTCAATCTTAACCTGCATTTTTCAACAAATAAACTCTGCATCCAAAACATTTCAACCAGCTATAGTATTAATCCCTCTGTGGTGGGGGCCTTCCTTTCCAGTCGTTGAGTGGGTGCCAACCAAAGTACGGACCATCGCTGGCACGGTGGTGGGATACTGCGCTACCATTGGACAGATTGTTCTTGCAGGCTTGGCATATGCCCTCCCGGACTGGCGCTGGCTACAATTCACTGCATCAATGCCCTTCTTTGTCTTCTTTCTCTACTCCTGGTAAGTGCATCGCTGCGCGTTGGTAGGTGAGCAGGATTCTGATCTCACTCAAACACAGGGCTCAGGAGTGGGAGCTGCAGGGACAATACACTGACAGTCCAATACTCATTGGGATGAGCTGAAATAAGCCCCACTTCACTCTGTATTCCTATCTGATTTAGCTGTGATCCACCACAGCCTAGTGCCCCTATTGTTTGCAGCTGTCTTGACTACATAAAAGAGCTAGACTGGTCCTGAAAGGATGTGCTTGGCACACCCAGTGGCTTTACCAAGGTCTGTTGCTGTCTGGATCAGTGCAGAAAATGCAGAGGTGCTGGTACTCTAGGGGCTGGGAGCAGTAGGCCCCTCTGATACAGAAGTTGAAACAACTTGATGTTGTTCCTCTGTGTTTGCCAACAATGCAACTTCCCCTCAGAATCTGCCTCACGAGGTCATAGCTCTACCCAGGGCTGAGTGCCCCTAATTCCCATGAGCCGCAAATGCCTACCACGAGAACCCAGCTGGGAAAGAAGGAAGCACTCCATTGGTTTTTGGCATTGCTGCTCCGTTTGCAGGTGGTTTGCCGAGTCCGCTCGCTGGCTGGTTCTATCAGGAAAACCGGACCGAGCAGTGCAGGTGCTTAAGAAAGTTGCTCAGATAAACAGAAAAAAAGAAGAAGGAGACAAGCTCGATACTGAGGTAAAAAAATGAATGGAATTGCTGTGCCATCAAAGGAAACCACAGATAATCACATCTTATGCTTAGGCCAGGTCTATACTTACCTGGAGATCAATGCTCTGGAGATTGATCTTCCAGGGTTCAATTTAGCAAGTCTAGCAAGGACCTGCTAAATTGACTGCTGATGTCACCCATTGTCAGCCCTGGTACTCCATGGGGTTGCAAGGAATAAGGAAAGTCAACAGGAGAGTTTCTTCTGTCAGCTTCCCACAGTGAGGACTCAGTAGAAATTCAAATTAAGATATGTTGACTCCAGCTATGCTATTCTTGTAGTTGAAGTTGTGTATCTTAGGTTGACTCTCTCCCATACCGTAGGCCTGGCCTTAGGACCCTACCAAATTCACTGTCCATTTAGTCAATTTCGTGATCATAGGATTTTAAAAATAATAAATGTTGTGGTTTCAGCTATTTAAACCTGAAATTTCACAGTGTTGTAAGTGTAGAGGTTCTAACCCCAAAAGAAGTTGTGGAGGATTGCAAGGTTATTATGGGGGAGTAGTAATATTGCTACATTTATTTCTCTGCCTTCAGTGCTAGGCAGCTAGAGAGCAGTGGCTGCTGGCCAGGATCCCAGCTCTGAAGGCATTCAGCGCCAGCAGCAGCACAGAAGTAAGAATAGCATGGTATGCTTCTGTGCTGCTACCTGCAGAAACTGACACCTTCTGTCAGCAGCTACCTTTCTCCAGCTGCTTGTTTGGATGTGTGCTACTGTGGCATCCACCAGTTACTGACAACATTTAAATTGTTATGTCAGAAAAAATACAAACACAAGGGATAATTAACAAGGTGCATAACCCTGCACCCACCCACCCTGAAAACCACCCAGCTTGACTTTCAGACTCACTCCCCCCCAGCCTTACTCCCACTGTTTCTGCATGCCTGGGCTCCCCAACCCCACACCTCATCCTGTGCAGCCTTTACCACTAACCCTGCATTGTGCCCCCTTTGCCCCTAACTTCTACACAGTGCCCCCTTCATCCCAACTCCTACTTTACTCCCAGCTGTGCCCCCAACTCCCATCCTGTGCTTCCAGCATGTCCTGCCATGCGTCCCCCTGCCCAGTACCCTCCACCCCCGTTGCCTAGCAACACCAGTGCCCAGTTGCCCTTCACCCTCTGGCTATGGCACCCTGGGCATGGGCCCAGTTTGCCCAGCCCCAAAGCTGGTCCTGCGACAAGACAGCTGACCACCATGTGGTCCCAGCCACCCCACACACAGCAGCTCAGGCTCAGGCCCCAGCCCCAGTGGCCAGAGCTGCCACTGCCTCCCGCCGTGCAGTGGCTCAGGCCCGGGCCCTGGCTGCCAGAGCTGCTGCCGCCACCACCCACCAAGCAGCCCACCCTGGCAGCAGCTCCAGCCCTGGGGAAGGGCTGAAGCTAGGGCCAGGGCTGTGTGGTGGCTGCCCAGCTGCTCCTGGGTCAGGTCAGCCGCCCTGAAGAGGTGGGCAGGACTCAAATTCTTGGAGCAAGCCTGCACAGATGTGCACCTAAGAGAGAACTATCTTTACGGGGAACATTGGTCATAACCCAAACCTCTGCACCTCCACTCCTGGTCACAATTCCCTCCCAGACACTGCACCCCTGTTTACACCCTTCCCCCAGGTCAGAATCCACTCCTGTACCCAACCCCCCCCTTCCTGCACCCGTCCCTTGCCCCAGGTCACAACCTCCTCCCTCCACTAAAATTCTCTCCCAGACCCCACATCCCCTCCTGCACCCCAGTCCTCTACCCCAAGCTTCTTTTTGCAAATCAATCGCCATCCCAGTGTCTGCACCCCCTCCATAGAAAAGTGACCACTGACCAAAATCTTGGAGTGCCCCCCCCAATCAAAAATTATTGCCCACCCCAAGTCTAGATGGTGTTTGGTGCTCCCATGAGTATCAGGGACTGAACCTGATAACCTCTTCCCAGTCCTAGGATTCTATGACAATGGTTAACTCAGGGACACAAGTGCAAGTGGGTACAAACTGTCCTGCTGTATTTCACAATAGATTGCAGAGTGTTTTGGTGCTAATGCTTCTACTATGTTTGGACAATGACTTATGAGATGGGAGACTGGGTAGGGGGGGACGCTCTCCTTCGAATCCATGTCAGATGCCCCGGTCTGGTGCTACAGAACAGGGTGTTGCAGGAGTGGGATGGGGGTCCCAGCAGGAGGTGCTGTCTCCTCACAGTCAGTGCTGACGCCAATGACCCACCGTGATTTACTGGAGATAGAAATGTGTGGCCCATTAGAGTTCTAGGGCCCTTTTCCCAATGGAGTGAATTACGCCAGGGATAAACCTACCCTCACTAGTCAGTAAGGGTAAAAAGAGGGACTTTGGTGGTGCCTAGGCTAGTGCACAAGGAATAATTTCACTTTCAATACTTTGGACCAAATTATCCCAGGACTGATGCCCCAGGAAAACCCGCCCAAGTCAAATTATGTGTCTTAATGTTGAGTAGTCTTATTATAGGTTGTTAAACAGCTTCAGCTTTCCAATGCAGAGCGTTTCAGTGGAGGATAAAGTGATTCTATCCACCTTCATACGCACCCCTCTCTCTGTCTCTATGTCCATATGCAACTGGAGGAAAATAATTTTAACAAGTCAGGAAAGTCTCTGTGTTCTGCTTTTCTCTTCCGACCATGTTAGGGTCCCTCAGCATTGTGCCAGCTCCAGGAGCCAGGCGATAGCTCTCGGCTGGTCACTAGAGGGGGATGCAGGATTGGTTGTATGTTGCCTGTGTTGAGCTCCTCCACATTCCTACACTGCTTTTGTTTCCTCTAAATGGAATGGTGCAAACATTTTACAACAGCTCCTCGGCCGCAGGGAGTGATCTTCACAGGAATTGCCTGACTGGATTAGCCCAGTGATCTATGTAACCCAGTATCCTGTTTCTGACAGCACCTAGCACGGAGACTCATTCCAGGCTCTGGGAGAAGAGTCTAGTGGCTAGAGCTGGAGGAGGCTGGGAATCAGGATTCCTGGTTCCATTCCCAATTTTGAGAGAGGGGCAAAGCCTATTGGTTAGAGCTAGGAACTGGGTCAGGACTTCAGGGTTCTCATCCTCTCTCAAGCGCTGGCAAGCTATTCTTTATCCTGCCCATTACTTTGACACCCTTTATCAGATCCCCTCTTATGCGTCTCCTTGTTGTGGTAAGCATTCCCAATCCTCTCAGTCTCCCAGGTGTCTCTCCAGAGCGCTAATCATTCGCACCGTGCATCTTTGCCTCCCCTCCCTGCACACCCTATGGGCCAGATCCTCAGCTTCATTGCCAGGTGACTGCAACAGCTGTTCCATCAGCTGGAGATCTGGCCCATGTTCTCCAATGGGGCATATCAAATGTGCAAGGCACAGTAAGGAGGGTGCAGCAGGATATTACACCAGAATTATTTTTCCTGCTGTCTCTCCCTGCTAGGTCTTGAAATCCAACATGCAGAAGGAAATGGCCTTGGCACAATCATCCCACACGTTCTACAGTTTGGTCCGTACACCCAATGTACGCAGGATATCCTGCTGCATCGCCAGTGTCTGGTAGGTGTGCTCTGTTCTTTCTTTCTAACCCTGAGGCAGCACTAGGGGGCGCTGTGCTGCAGGGAGAGAGGAGTGGGGATCAGTAGCAGGCACCCTCAGAGTCAGGGAAGATTCCAATGCCTCCCCATAGTACACTGGGGATAAAAATATGTTGCCAGTCAGCCAGTCAAGATCCCCTCTCTCCTTTCCCCCAGGGGAGTCAGTTACATCAGGGATAAATCTGGCCCTGCTCTCCATTTACACCCCACCCCCTTCGATGACCCTTCACAGGTTTGCCACCAGCTTTGCCTTCTATGGCTTGGCCATGGACCTGCAGCATTTCGGCTTCAACATTTATCTCATCCAGGTGGCTTTTGGCTCCATCGACATCCCGGCCAAGCTGGCTGCTGCCATCGGGATGAGCTTCATCGGCCGGCGTGTCACCCAGGCAGCTTCCGTTATCCTGGCAGGGCTGGCGATCCTGGCCAACATATTTGTGCCACGAGGTGAGCATTCAGGGTGCAGCTGGCAGGGGAAGGACGGGCTGAATTAAGCTTATCTGGGTCCCTCGGCATGCCAAGTGATGGATACCTGATTCCCAAGAGGCTCTCCCCCTGGCCACAGCCCTCATAGCCCAAACCCATCCTGATTGCCATTCCCTCAGAAGCCTCCCCTGCCCCAATGCCCTGCCCCGGGGCTTCCCCTGACTCCTTGCTCCACTCCCACAATACAACCACATCCCTCAGCTCTGCTTCCTTGGCTGAACCTCCCCCACCAATACAAAGCCCTCTCCATGGCCTTGCCCTCAGAGCCAAGATGGCTTTTAGCTCCATCGCCATCCCAGACAAGCCGGCTGCTGCCATCATGATGAGCTTCATCTGCCACGCGTCACCCAGGCAGCCTATCTCCCCACAACTGACCTCATTGCCCTATCTGCCCACAACTGTATTGCCCCTCCACAAGCCAGCCACCCACCCTGAAAACCACCCTTCGTGTCCCTACCTCTACCTCCCGAGCCCAGCCTCAATATGGCCCCCACGTCCACTTGAAGTGGCAGAGGGAAGGTTCCCCTCAGGAGCAGAACAGGAGTCTCATGAGAGATGTTGTCCAGTCATTGTGCTGGGATCTCAGAGGAGAATGGGAACGAGAGGCAACTGAACTAAAACCCCCATATGGCACTAAAATAGCATCAACATATTTCAACTTTCAGGTGTTCATTGTTTGACCAAAAAAAAATTTGATATTGTCCATGGGAGGCAAACACACTCTGGGAAAACTTTGTTTAGTTGACAACCCCAATTTTCCATGGAAAAAATAGTTTTCATGGAAAATTTCTTACCATCCATAATTCAAACATTTGCATATGTATCTTGTTTACCTCGAATACATATTGTAATGTAGGCCCTGAGCGATCAGCCTTAGCCAGGGCTGTTTCAGCAACTGATTCCTATTCATGACTGTTACCAGCACTGACCATTAGCTCTTATCCTTTTGTGTCTCCCCACAAGAGCTGAAGGCTTTACGTACATCCCTGGCTGTGCTTGGGAAAGGATGCTTAGCCTCTTCCTTTAACTGTTTGTATCTCTACACCGGCGAGCTGTACCCCACAGTCATCAGGTACCTACAGCAGTAACTCATCTATTTCTGTGCTAGAGGAAAATCCACCCAATGCTGTACTCGATTCAGGGGGCCAGAGCTTGGAACAACAGGACTCCCCGGACAAAGCTGGAAGCAGAGATCTCAATTTCCATTCCCAAGGAAGTTCCAGCATTTCAAAATTTCTTGCAAGTCGAAAATTCCAAAAAAATATCATTTCAGAAATATCTGAATGACCTTATTGAAACCATGGTTATTGGGGTTAACACAGGGGTAACAGGGTGAAATTTAACAGCTCATGTTATCTCGGTGGTCAGACTAGAAGATCTACTGGTCTCTTCAGGCCTTAAACTCTATGAAATATGTCAACAAAGACTTATCAAAACAATAACTGATTTATCATTGCAACTATTATATTATGTAAACCATCAAATCATAGAAATCTAGGGTTGGTAAGGACCTCAAGAGGTCATCTAGTCCACCCCCACCCCTCCCTATGTGAAGCAGGATTAAGCATCTCTAGATCATCCCTAACAAGTATTTGTCTAACTGGTCTTTAAAAAACATGAAGAACAGGACTCCCACAATCTCTTTTGGTAACCTGTTCCTATCCTTAGACTGAGTTTGAAAGTTTTTTTCCTAATACCCAAGATGAATTTTCTATGCTGCAAACTAAGCTGATTCCTTCTTGTCTTAACCTTGGGGAACCTGTAGAACAATTGAGCATCCTTTTTATAACAACTATTTACATATTTGAAGACTTGCGTGTTTTCCACACTCCCCTGCCTCGTCGTCTTTTCTGATCATTTTTGTAGCTCTTCTCTGGACTCTGCACGACACAGTATTTCAGCTGAGACTCACCAGTGCCCAGTGCAGTGGAATAATTGCCCCCTGTGTCTCACATACAACAGTCCTGTTAATACATCTCAGGATCACATTTGCCTTTTTCCCCACATTCAATATGTGATCCACTATAACCTTCGGGTGCTTTCCAGCAGTACGGCCACCGAGCCACTTAGTCGCCGTTTTATGTGTGTGCTTTAATTTTCCTTCTTACATGCAGCTGTCACAAATCACTGGCACTTTAAGGGTAATTGAGCGCAGGCACACTTGCGCCAGATTAGCTAGCCCCCTGCCTTAACTTTGGAAGGTCTCTGTGGGAACCCTGAGAAAGGGTCTGAAGGAGTTTGCAAAGGGTTCCTGGGAAGGAGTGAGGGCTGTGTCCCAAAGACAGAGACTGAAGGATAACCCAGAAAGGACTGGGAACTGAGCCAGACGGGTGTGCTGAAAGGGAGTCCAAGTGAGGACAAAGATCTTTTGATTGTGTGGGGGCTTTTGTTAGCCCAAGGGACAATTGACCTCTGAGTGAGCCAGTCAGAGGGGTGGGCCACGTGAACCCTCAGGAGAGATAAGAAAGCCAGAGGAGGAGGAAGCTGAGGCAAGGAGTGCTTGCAGCACTCTCAAATAGCAGGGTGTGCTTCAGGGCAGGCATGTCCCATGACACTGGGGCTACGTCTACACTGGCATGATTTTCCAAAAATGCTGTTAACGGAAAAGTTTTCCATTAAAAGCATTTTCAGAAAAGCGCATCTAGATTGGCAGGATGCTTTTCCGCAAAAGCACTTTTTGCGGACAAGCGTCCGTGCCAATCTAGACGCGCTATTTTCGCGATCGGGGCTTTTTTGCGGAAAACAGTACTGTGCTGTTTACACTGGCCCTCTTGCGCCAATGATTTGTGCAAGAGAGCTTTTGCCCGAACGGGAGCAGCACAGTATTTCCGCAAGAACACTGACGATCTTACATGAGATCGTCAGTGTTCTTGCGGAAATTCAAACGGCCAGTGTAGATAGCTGGCAAGTTTTTCCGCAAAAGCAGATGATTTTGCGGAAAAATTTGCCAGTCTAGACACAGCCTAGTACTTTGTACTTGTCTTTGTTGAATTACATCTGGTTGATTAACATCATAGCCAAAATGATAAATCAGTTATTTCAGTAAGTTCCTGTTGAACCATTTTGCTAATAAGCTTCAGGGGGTGGCCAAGTTAGTCTGTAGCTGGAAAATCTTGAAAAACAACCATAGTCTTGCAGCACCTTAAAGACAAACAAAATATGTAGATTGTATCTACATTCATCTGAAGAAGTGGGTTGTAGCCACGAAAGCTCCTGATACCATTTATATGTTCTGTTAGTCTTTAAGGTGCTGCTAGACTAGTCATTGTTTTTCAAGTTTTTCTATTTTGCTAATGTCCATTCAGTAGTTCCAAGCCCTGCACTTTCTATATATCTGATTAGGTAAAGAATACACCTCAGGAGGATGACTTTTTTTCCTTTCGATAGCTGGGGGAGGGAAATAGGTGAACCAATCGACTGTCACCCTCCCCTACTCCCAATTTAAGGCTTCTCCTGTTCCCCTCTTTGGGCTGCCACAGCCTCACCAGGGCAAAAAGAAAAACAATGAAGCCCTTTGACCTCACTGAAATAAAATGTTTCAATCATTTCTCATTGAAAACATTACAGGAACATTATGATTTCAACAAACTATTTTGATATAATTGAATCAGCATTTTCCAATGGAAAACTGTTCCATTGGAAAATCTTCCCTCAGTTCTATTCTTAAGTCTAAGGTAACATTTTCTGAATTACCTAAGTCCCATTTTCAAAACTTTCCCCCTTTCAAAATGTGCCCCTTATTTACAGTTTGAATTGGTCTAGCTCCAATTTTCAGCCCTTGGATCTCTCACTCACATTGTCTCTGAGGCATCAAATGGTGCATCTCAGCTAGAAAATAACTTGTCCCCAGGTAGGTATTTACAGGCGATAATCCTGTTGTATAGCATCAGCCTTCCTCTCACAGGGAACCCCAACCACAGTTTGAGGACAGTCTCAAAGATTAAGCATAAACTTAAAAAAAATAACAAATAGTCTGGTAGCACTTTAAAGACTAACAAAACATGTAGATGGTATCATGAGCTTTCCTGGGCATAGCCCTTAGAAGTGGGCTGTGCCCACGAAAGCTCATGATCCCATCTACATGTTTTGTTAGTCTTTAAAGTGCTACCAGACTATTTGTTGTTTTTTTAAGTTTATCCTGTACAGACTAACTTGGCTACTCCCTGAAGCTCAAAGATTACGGTCAATCCAAAATATTTAGTTTTGATCCCTACCTGCCCCCAAGAGAAAATTTAAAAAAAAAATTGTCAACAATTTGACCTTTTTGCCACAGAAGAAAATTTGCTTTTGCCAAAACTACACTTCCTGTTGAAGGAAGTTCCTAACTGGCTCTAGAAATAAGGAAAGCCAGTTCTGATCAAAGACCGTTTAAGGGCAGGCCAAGGGGAGAAAAAAATGCATGGGTGGATTGAAGCTGGTCTTTCCAGAATCAGTCCAATATTATCATGATTTTATGATTTCTCTCTTAAACGTTGTTTTCTACACTTGCAGACAGACTGGCATGGGGCTTGGAAGCACCATGGCTCGCGTTGGTGGCATAGTAGCTCCAGTGATAAGGGTGACGGGGGAATATTTCCCATACCTTCCACCAATCATATACGGGACAGCTCCTATAATTTCAGGCATTGCTGCTATATTCCTGCCAGAGACCCTCAACGTGCCATTGCCTGACACCATAGAAGAAGTGGAGAGAGGGTTAGTTGGCTTTCACTTCATTTTCATTGTGTCCTCTCCTGCAGGAGGTAGTCTGAGCCGTCTCTCTCTTATAAATGGGAAGAAACTGTATTGGAGTCAATGTAACGACACTGTAGTGAGAGAGGAACTGACACATCCCATCTTAATGGCAGCGTGGGCTAGTGGACAGTGTGCAGGAGTAGAAGTCAGGGGACAGGGTTTCACTCCTGTCACTCTGTGCTTCTGTTTCCCTTCCCACTCTTTTCTCAGTCTTCCTTTTTAGACCATAAGAACGTTAAGGCAAAGACTGTCTCCTACTACATGTCTGCGAAGCACCTGGCCCATTGGAGTTCTGGTCTCAGTTAGGGTGTATACATAAACCAGAGCTCCCCTGGAGTCAACACGCCTGTATTCCCAGCCCCTGTACATTGGTTGTAGTATCGTGATAGAAATGTAGCCGTGTTAGTCTGGTGTAGCTGAAACAAAAGACAGGACTATGTAGCACTTTAAAGACTAACAAGATAGTTTAATAGGGAAGGGGGGGAGGTAAATGTCTGTGAGCTAATGATATTAGAGGTGATAATTGGGGAAGCATTAGCTCACAGACATTTACCTCCCCCCCTTCCCTATTAAACTATCTTGTTAGTCTTTAAAGTGCTACATAGTCCTGTTTTTTGTTTCATTGGTTGTAGTGACACTGAAGTGAATGGGGCCAGACTCCCAGCTGGTGAAAATCAGACAGAGCTCCCTTGAAGTCAATGGCCCCAGGCCAATTCACACCAGCTGGGGATCTGGCTCAGTATTTATTTTTGAGTGTATCTCTCTCCTTCACCAGCTGGGGATCTGGCTCAGTATTTATTTTTGAGTGTCTCTCTCTCTCTCCTTTTTTTTTTAAAGGAAAAAGGCCAGAAACCTAAAGAATGAAGATCAAAAGGAGAAGATTCTTCTGCAGACGGAGGGGCCAGTAATGCTGCAAGAAGTCTGATGGTGCGATGAGAGAGGGGGGCCCTTGGGTTAGGTTCAAAGTGTCACCCATGTTTCTGTACACAGCAGTACATCTTCAGGGGGCAGGTCTGTCCCCTGCTGCAGAGCAGAGAGGTGTCACATGGGAGTTATAACAAATAAATGGCAGATTCCTCAGTCTTGGCAATCTCTCGCACACACACTTGGATATTCGCACTGTTACATACATGCACAAGCACTCACGTTCATGTTCACACTTGCACTCGTGGATACACCCACCCCCATTCAGACATGCACACAAAAACACTCTCTTTCATACTGTCTTGCACATGTTCTCACACACACCCACTCACATCCTCATGTTCAAACACACACACAACACACACACAGGGCAGCCTTGTTAGGCTCCCTCCCTTTCTACCACAGCTGATTAACACTAGACCTCCTGCCATAGGACAATAAGTCAATTCCCTAACCAGATCTCCTAAACAGTTGCGTCTTATGGAACACTCACCCTATAAATCTAATGGCTGTGGATGGAATGTGTTTCATTCAGTTCCCACTGCAGAGAGGCCCCTGGCCATTTTTCACATACCTGAATACCGGAGCCCTTGGGTCAGAGGAAATGTTTAAACAACTTCAATTACCATCACGGCTGTTTCCATGGGGCACAAACAGAACACTCGTGCTGCTTCATAAATGCCGACTCCTGTTAAGGAGGTAGTCTGGGATGACTCATTCATCTCCTGACCACGGTATCATCACCTCTCCAATGGATGAGTCCCAGTATGGCTCTGTATCTGCCGAAAGGTTCATCCTTTTAGCCCTGACATGATCTGCAACATCCTGAATGGGACAAAGTTTGGACCATATCCTAGGCTGGTGTAAATGGGCATAGCTTCATTGACTTCAGTGGAGTGATGCCCCTTTACACCTGGGCTGTGTCTAGACTGGCAAGTTTTTCCACAAAATCATCTGCTTTTGCGGAAAAACTTGCCAGCTGTCTACACTGGCTGCTTGAATTTCCGCAAAAGCACTGACGATCTCATGTAAGATTGTCAGTGCTTTTGCGGAAATACTATGCTGCTCCCATTCGGGCAAAACTCTTTTTCCGAAAAACTTTTGCGCAAGAGGGCCAGTGTAGACAGCAGAGATTTATTTTCCGCAAAAAAGCCCCGATCACGAAAATGGCCATCGGGGCTTTTTTGTGGAAAAGCGCATCTAGATTGGCCACGGACGCTTTTCCGCAAAAAGTGCTTTTCCATTAAAAGCATTTCCGGAAAATCATGCCAGTGTAGACGTAGCCCTGCTGTGGATCTGGCCCCTTTCTGGTGTCCAAGAAGCAATGCCCAGTTTATAGCAGCTGGGATCTAGCCCTATTGTTACCCATACTGATGTCATTTTACACCATCTGGGGATCTGCTCTATGTATTCCAATGGTGCTATGGCTGATTTACATCATCTTGGGATCTGGCCTCATTGACTCCAATGAAGCTATAGGCCTAGTCCTGACTCAGTGAGGTTGAATGATTAGCGCAGTGGGGGACTGGATGTCAGGACTCCTGGGACATTGTCCCAGCTCTCAGAAGCAAACAGGTTAAAGCACAGTGAAGATTTCTAGTGATGAGAAGGGAGCGAGATCGAGTGGATTAGACATGGAAGTGCTAGGAATCCATTGCCAGTTCTGAGGACACAGGGGTCTAGTGATTAGAGCAGATGGGGCTAGGAGTCAGGACTCCTGGTTCTATATTCCTGACTTTAGCTCTGGCCTCTCTGTAGTCTAGGTGGGTAGAACAAAGGGCATTTGCTCCACTGCTTGGGACAGTATCAGGGTATGATACTGAGCCAGGCCTGGCACAATAACTCTGGTGTTCTGTATTGTACCAACCTGGATCCATGGCTCCTGGTTTAATAGGAATAAAGGGAGAAAATGCATTTGGGGCTTAAATTCAATAAATTATAAAGCACTCAGGGGACGGTTTATCCACTCTGCTCTCTGGGCTGGATGAACATGTCTTATCCTATATCATGCCATATATAGAAGGTGTCCTGTCTGAGGAATAAAATGAGCTGACATCATCCCACTCTAAGCACCAGGCAGTTCCATATTAAAACAACACTGAAAGAAAGGCGGATTCTTAACCTGGCCAAACTCCACTCTACCCTATGATGTCATGAAGCCTTTTCATTGGAATAGTGCTTCAAATTTCAGTGCTACATCCCACAGAACTTTCCGTTTGAATTGCAGAGGTATTCAGGGAGGGAGTGTTGCCTAATGATTAGAGTAGATGGCGCTGGAAGTCAGGACTTCTGGTGTCTATTTCCAACTCTGGAAAGGGGATAGGATCTAGCAGTTGGAAGGGGGGCTGAAAGTCCAGATTTTGGGGTTCTGCTCCCAGCTGACGGAGGGAGAGTGTTTCTTGGCAGGAAAGCCTAGTAATGGGAACTAAGATGCCTGGATTCTGTTCCCAGCTCTGGGGGGAAATGTGATCTAATGAACAGAGCAGGAAACTTCTCCTAGGAATCAGACTCCCAGGTTCTACTACCAGAGGCAAGTGTGGTCTAGTGGTATTTAAACTGGGAACTGAAACTTGGGTTCTGTTCCCAGTTTTCTTAGTGATTCATCATTTCACTTGCCTTCTCTGGGCCTAAAATTCTCCCCCTATAAGATGGAGTTCTGAAATTCTTATATAAAATGGATTATTATAAAAGTGCTGCAAATTATTACACTAATGCTACTTTTCATCTCTAGAACAGATCCCTTGTATGCAGCTGCACCAGGTACTGAAAACATAAACACATAATTTACATAGGCCAAACTAAAATGCTGTGAGTTCTAGTTCACAGAATATTTGTGTCACAATAGTGCCTAGATCAGAGCCTCATAGTGTGTGCATTATTAATAATGCAACAGTAGTGCCCAGAAGTCCTAACGGAGATCAGGGGGCTGTTATGGTGAGTGTGCATTATTAGCAGCATTACGGTAGCACCTGAAAACCTCAGTGAAGCCAGGGGTCTCATTATGGTGTGCATTATTAGCAGCATTACTGTAGTGCCTAGAGAGCCGAGTCCAGATGAGGCCCTCATTATGGTGTGTTTGTTATCATTAGCATTATGGTAATATCCAAAAGTCCTCACTATGATCATGACCCATTGTGATATGTGCATTATTAACAGGACTACAGCAGTACCTACAATGCTCTACACTAGACCAAGGCCCCATTACGGTGTGTGTATTAGTAGCAGTACTACAGCAGTACCCAGAGGCCCGACACTAGGCCATTATCCTAGGTGCTGCACAGCCACTCACCGCCCAACAATCTTGCTGTCTGAATAGAGAAGCCAAAAGGTGAACGAGAGTCAGACTCACCAAAGCCCACACAGCAGATCACTGTCAATCAACAGGTACAGGAACAGAACCAAGGCCTGCCTGACTTGTGTGCTACCCTCGAGGCCACACTGCGGAATGAATAAATATGCGCTCATCCCGTGACCCCTTAGATCCCAATCACTTGCATAGACCCGAGCGAGGCTAATGCAGTCTATGCAACCCAGATAACTCTCATGTTGGCAACTACATCCAGAAACCAACTGCCAACTCGAAACAGCCAGGCACATTCTAAGACAGTCAGCAGCTCTGAGTCTCATATCCAGCAGAGGGAGTGGTAGAGATGCCTTTATTAAGAGTTTGTGAATTTAACCCTCGCAAACTACGCCATAATCGCCAAGCACTGGGAGAGATTTGCCAGTTCAAAGCAAGTGCTCAGGACAGGAGCTCAGAGACACAGAGATAGATCCAAACTCCCATTTCCGGTGCCGCTCAGAGGGGCTGAATTGCGATAGGACACAACCCACGTAAGTGAGCCTCTATTGCATTTAAATCGTTGGGAGGATGCTACATTTTCATGCCTCTGTTGACCTACTGAATGCAGGCTGGAAAGGGCTGTAAAAGGCAGTCTTGCAAGTGAGTTGAAGCCATTGCAAGGAGGTGGGGAACCAGGGAGTGCTGATGCTTGTGTGCAGGGAAAAACTGAGCACACGTGGATGTGGCGGAGGCAGAAAAGATGGGGCAATTTTATTTTTGTGGGTAACTTTCCAGGGCAAGCAATAGCTAGAGAAAAGCAGCCTGTCGTGGGATGGGTCAGCAGATGATTCTCGCACTGTCCGTGTGATGGTTTCATTCTGAATTCAGGGTCAGATCCTGTGCTGGTGGAAATCAGCATCACTCCGTGAATTTGGATGGAGTTCAGCTGATTCGTGCCAGAGCTGATGAGCTAGCCCTTGATTTCTTTGGTGAAAGACGTGGGGGGGTAGGAGTGTGCTCTATAAGGCAGCAGTTTGATCAAAAGGCAAAAATGTGCTTTTCAAGACTGGACAAGGAATTGATGCGACGTCTCACATTTAAAATCTAAGCCTCTTTCTATCACACAGCCATATACAAGTAAGGGATGGCATGTGAGACAAAAAATGCTTGTTTCTAGCACCTGGCTCTGTAAATAACATCATTAATTTTATTGCTGCAAGAGACGTGTCATCTGAATCCTGGTCATCTGTTCCCGCCCCTGGGAGTTGAGTCAGATCTAGTGATTAGAGGAGAGGGACGGGAGTCTGGAGTCCTGGATTCAGTTCCCAGCTCAGAATGGGTAGTGGTCAGAGCAGCGCAATGCAGGCAGGACTCCTTAGTTCTACCCTAGCTGTGGGAAGGCAGGTGATCAGAGTGAGGGACCAGGACGTCTGGTTTTGACTCTGGCTGGCATGAGGGAATATGTTCTAGTGCAGTGTTTCTTAAACTTCTTGAGACCACGGAACACTAAACAATCTTTTTTTTTTATGCGGAACACCTATGCAAATTTTCTTCAAAAAAAATTGTCAGACAAAAAAAGACAAAAACAAAGAAGTAACAAAAACAAAGACAAGGTTGCGGCACACCTGCGAGTTATTCACGGAACACCAGTGTTCTGCAGAACATAGTTTAAGAAACACTGTTCTAGTGGTCACAGCAACAGACTAGGAGTCAGACCTTCTGGGATCTTTTCCCAGTTCTGGAAGGTGAGGGGAGTCCAATGGATTATGGCAGGAGCCGAGAACCTGATTTCTCCTCCCAGTGGCATACGCATTAGATTAAAGACAATATAAAGCCTGTTAAAAGCTTTACAGTTGAAGAAATAAACCACAGTCTTTAGTCTATTTTATAGCTCTTTGCCTAGGAGTAGATCTAGAAGAATTCATTGCACATGATTTACATTTTCCTTCCAGTGTTTGCAGATGACAAATATAATAGAACCCAGTGCCAGAACAGACTTTAAAGAGCAAACTTTACAGCTAATTGCAAGAGTCTGTTTTCCTCATTTCTCTCAGGCAGTAACATTAACCACCTGTCATCAGATACACCCACACTCATTATTCTCTTTCCTTCTGCTGTTTTTTAAATATATGAGTGAGTGTAGCTTGTGTTTCACCAAATGTTATTATTTATAACAACTGTAATTTATAGAGCCCTCATATGAGATTCCCCATTGTGCCAAATCCTGCATGGACCCCAACCAAAATCAGCACCCAAATTGGGCCAGGTGCTGCACAAACCCAAACAGAAACCAGGGCCTCATTGTGCTAGGCACTGCAGAAGCATTGTCTGGGATCAGGGTCCCTATTATATGAGGCACTGCAGAGACCCCCACCAAACCCACTGTGCCAGACACAGGAGATACATATGGGAAGAACCCACCTCTGCCCTAATAGATCTTATCTATTAAAGACAGACAAAGGATATAAGGGGAAACCGAGGCAGGGCGAGTGGAACTGGTTTGCCCAGAATCATGCAGCGGCTCAACAACAGAGATAGGATTAAACCCCAGCTCCTCTGATGGCCAGGCCAATGCCCTGTCCAGTAGACTAGTGGCTCCATTTCTTGACAGGCCTGGAAAAATGTTGCTCTGTACCTAGAATAGCATTACGGAAGCCCTGGGAGTGAGTCGGGGGAAGGAAGAGCACAATTTGGATATGGATCTTTGACATTCTATCAGAAAAAACTTTCGAAAAATAGAGCCAACACCTAGTAACTTAGCCTAAGAAAAAGCAATCGCAAGTACCAGCCACAAAGGCAGAGAAAAGTAAAATAATTGTAGCCTATAATGAACCTCAATCACATGGAAGAACAAACGGAAGATTATTCTAATAGGTTTTTGAAGAGCTAATAAATTAAGACAATAAGACCCAGCAGGGGAAAATGAAGCTAATTAATGCATAAAGGCTTTATTCTAAAGTTCAGTTGAGTGAAATCTATGATGTTCTTATGGTGAATGCCTGTTCTTATTGACAGTATCCTTCCTTTGTCTGAACAGTCTCTTCAGAATTCTCTTCAAGTACACCACCATCTTTTATTGTGCTTGTGCTGTGCTCAGTACAATGGGGCCCCTGCTCTCAGTTGGGCGGGGTGAATCTTTAGTATAAATAGTAATACATTCTGCTTAAAAACAATACTGTCTGCTCAAAAACTACTCCTAAACCTCCATGTCAAGAAGGAATATAGAAAATAATTTGCCTGCAAAGAAAAAGCAGTTAAGTCCCAAGACACTTGGATATATTAAGGTGCTATAAAATCGTCCCGTTTGATGTATTTACATGTTGTAAGTCCCAAGACACTTGGATATATTAAGATGCTATAAAATCGTCCCGCTTGATGTATTAACATGTTACTTGAAAATCTTTTTCACTTAGGGAGATGTGTGCTTTGGAAACCCGAATACTGTGAGCTCTTGCTGAATAATCTTTTAAGGCACTTAGCCAAATAAATCCAGTGTTACAAATTTTACTAATAGAAATCGGTCTCAAAACAGCTGTTTAGAATCCACTGCTGTGAAATAGCAGGCTCCGACTGCTGGCAGGGAGGAATAGGAGAGAAAGCTGCCACTTTTCATAACAGTTTATGAAAGGATCAAACTTGCAGTGCTGGGAGGTGGGAAAAGAAACAAACAAAGGGAGGATTTAGGGTTTGAGGGCACCTATCTAAGAGCAGAACGGATAGAGGGAGGGATAGACAGACGAAGGAGCTTGAGGAACAGAGAAACAGATAGAGGGGAATGTACTGGGATGGACAGACAGACAGATGTAGTGGTGAGGCTCTTTCCTATTACAGACCCCAGAATCTTCCATTCATTTCCATTGGCTTTTGTTGTCCCCGGCACGCACTAACGCAGGGCTAAATCATCCCCTCTTCAGAGGCTAGGACAATTTGCAGGCATCCCAGACAACTGGCCACTAGGCAGAGGGGATAGAATGGGGTTCCCACCCCACTTTGTAAAACTGGATGCCCCGAGTAGCCAAGGGCCTCGTGCACAGTGATCGCCAGGCTAGGTTTATTGAGAGTGGGACACCAGCAAAGTTTAACCTGGGTCCCAACGAGGCACAACACTTGATTAACCCTCTCTGTATCGAGCAAAGCCCTGGAGTCCCAGAGAGTTCTTTGCTGAGCAGGGCTGGGCTTTCTCCTGTGTTTGGGGGTTAAGCAGTTGACGCACAATTTTCTGCACTGAGGTGCGGGTGTTAAAGGCAAGTGCTAAATGTCTGAGGGTTTCACACCACAACGGCCAGTCTAAGCAGCTCTCATCTTCATTTTATCACCCTCCAAACCCCTCTCATTACCCCAGTCTCCACTGTACAAAAAACTGTAGGAAACCCCCGTTCCAAGCAAGCATTCAGTCAGAGGGGAAGTGATTAATCCAATACATCAATGGCAGATGCAGGATTAGCACCTAGCTCGCCCACATGTCTACCCTCTCTTAGTTCAGATATCGATTGTAGCTTCCTATGCAATGCGCAGCTGCATAATACCCAAGTGCCTTATAATCTCCAATGTATTTAGGCCCACAACACCTCTGTGAAGTGCTTTCAGCCCCGTATGCTAGATGGGAAAACTGAGGCACAGAAAGGCTTAGGCTCAGATGTTCAAAAGTACCTAACTCACCAATTTAAATGAGTCACCTCTGGTGTTCTAGGTATAGTAACATGAGCAGTGATAGAAATGTAGCCGTGTTAGTCTGGGGTAGCTGAAGCAAAATGCAGGACAATGTAGCACTTTAAAGACTAACAAGATGGTTTATTAGATGATGAGCTTTCGTGGGCCAGACCCACTTCCTCAGATCAAATAGTGGAAGAAAGTAGTCACAACCATATATACCAAAGGATACAATTAAAAAAATGAACAAATATGAATATGATTTGTCCTTTTCTGATTTGTCCTTTTCAGATTTGTTCATTTTTTTAATTGTATCCTTTGGTATATATGGTTGTGACTACTTTCTTCCACTATTTAACATGAGCAGAATCACTGCTACCAGAGTAAGGAATCACACCCCATCTCTTTGACAGCCAGCATTAGCCACCTATCCACCGGGCTATCTTTCCTCCTGTCCCTTTGCCCCATTAGTAAGCTCTCAACCCAGCTGCACATGTTCCATTTTCTGAACATTTAAAGTCAGTCCCTCCAGCAATTTACCAGCAACACCTAACTCTTTTCATCTTCAGACCTTAAAACACTTTGCAAGGGAGGGCGCTAGCATTTCTCCCATTTTACAGATGGGGAAATTGGGGTACTGGGGGAGGAGAGACTTGCCCAAAATTAGACCAGCAATAGACCCAGGAACTGAATCTCAGTCCCCTGAGACCTACGATAGAGATAAATGCACAATTTCAACATGGTCCATTCAGTTTTTTTCTCAGTTTCCCTCTAGTGCACGTCTGTCTGCTATTGAGATGACTGGAATTCAGTTTGAATGTAAGCGGCAAGTGGCCAACATCACTTACTGGAATAACATAATTGACTTGAATTGAACCTCTCTCTAGATTTGCACAAGTGT